TAGGTGTGACATTATAAGAAATATAGAAATATATATGTGTAAATGTGGATTTTTAAAAAATGAAATCTTTAGCTGAACCTTTGAAGGAGATGAATTTAAAAAATGAGTCAGGTATCTTGGGCAACAAGAAACTGGTGAGAAAATAAGACTAACTTCAGACTTTCTGTGCCATGCTAATCACCTGACAGCAATGGGCTTTCGTGAGGACTTGAGCTAAAAATACTGCAGTACATTTTCCTTAACCAGACAATGGTTTTGGTTACCTTATTCCTCCTCTGTACACGATTAACCGTAGAACTAGAAATGAATGGAAGATGGAGCATAAAAGTCCCAGGTAGCTGAATAAAATATGAATCTGATCCAGACGCAGTTTAGCAGTATCCTCTGTAGGTTTTTCATTAGCCTTTTCATGTTTGAATTCCCTTTATAACCATGAACACAAATGGATAATAATTCACATAGGTCTGTAGATTCATTTGGCCCGTGTCTGTCTCTTCAAGACTTCCAACTCCTGACTGCTAAATGCAACAAGATTGTGATACAATTGAAAGAGAGAATTCTCTTGGTGGTGTAATTGCAGAAAGAGGTGCACAAGGAGGAAGTGTCTGAGTTTGAGATACATGGTATGCCAGCCTGTGACAAGGGACTCTTCTGCAAAATGCCATCTGGTCCTGGGAAGACATATGAAATTGCAAAAGTACTGACTCATTGTGGAACGTAAGCCTGGTAAAGAGTTTATTGACACTGTTTTTATTGAGAAAACCAGGAGTTTCAGGGAAATGAATATGGAACAGAAATGGTTCAAGCGCTGCCTATTTCTGGAAAGAAGATTTGAAGAATGGCAGTCAATCTGAGCATGGTCTGTATATTTTCCAGCCATCATCCAGAATTCTTTCTGCCAACTGACAACAGGGAAGCTGAGACTATTGGACGTGGGCTGAAAGGCAAAGATGAGAGTGGGGTGATGTTTCAAGGCAGCATTGTGGGAGGGAGGAATCTCCATTCACTCAGACAGGAGTACAGGGGTATGTCCTACAGTCACTGACTGTCACAGTTCTGTCTTAAGGCAGATTATATGTGATTTCTGAGAAAAGCCACTCAACATTTTTCAGGCTCCACAGCTGGTTCAAAATCATGAATCATCAAGGGAATTAATTCATCTTTACACGTTATCTTTGTAGCTGTTCTGGGATAGTGTGGGGTGGGCTAGAGGGTTGAAGACTCAGCAACGTAGACTTTCAAAAAGTGTTTAAAATTAGTATATCCATTGGCTCTACAGAAAGAACTATTTTTCTTTTGCTGTAGAGGTCCAAGGAAAAGTGATGACCATCATTATGTGTTGGTTGAAATCTCAGCTCTGTGATTTTCATCTCTCAGCTCACATCCTAGCAGACAGATGCTGTCCTCCCAAGCTTGCTAAGGATGGCTGTGCTATTTGTGAGGCAGTTTGTTACCACCTGGTGTGTCTAGGTGTGCTATTGACAAAAACATTGTACACTTTTATTTAAGACATGATAACTTCCTTTTTAAAAGAGATAGTTTGATGTCTTTTGCTTTAATAAGCATGGGGAGACATAGCTCAGACTAAGAGTAGTCTGTTAAGTCTCAGAAAATCAAAATAAGCATCATCCATGCCCTTTATAAACTCTTGAGCCTAAAATTAAATTAGGCTGCATATGAGAAGAAATTCCAATATCCTTGTTAGTATGAAACAGCCTCATATGAGTTGCAGTGGCCTGACAATGTCAAAGTTGATTGAAGAACATCTTTGCAGAAAGACAGGCAAGGACAGTGCTTCATTGTCTGTAGGATGGACTTCAAAGCCTAAAGGGATTTTTTTATTTTTCTCTGACATCTGTGAGTTAATTAGATTTGACAAACTTTCTGAAAGCTGGTATTTTATGGAATGGATTATGAGAGAATTGAGGTCTGTCATCTAAGACTTTGGTGTACAGACAGATGTCTTCACTCCAAAATGACCATCACAGCTGATATTTCATGGATACCTCATATGAAAGGGAACTTTGCATCAATAATGTGACAAACTTGGGTTAAAATGGAAGAGGAAGGGATGCCAAAGGATCCTTCTTATTTGTGTCTTTCCAATCACATAGGTACAACTTGCTATGAACCTTTCTTCTGTAACATCTGAAATAATGAGTTCCATCTGGAGTAATTACTTTTTTCCTTCCTTTTTCCTCTCTGGCACTTGATCTTCCTTCACTTTTCAGTTTTGGTCCTTAAGCATCTCAGCAAAGTTTGGTCTAGGGGCAGCACCAGGACAGGTCTGCTTCTCTCCTGGATCCTTGCATGACCAATAACTCAAGGTTTCAGGGGCCTGTCCCTGTAGTCCACTGATGAGGGCAGTCTTGAAGGAGTGGGTGTGGGTGGTCCCCGTAGTCTTCTGAACCGGCTCAGTGCAAAGAGCTGTTTTTGAAGGGTGACCAGATCTTTAGCATGGGAAAGGACTAAACTGACTAGCTAATGTGCAAGTCTGGGCTGAGGTCCCTCCATGTTGCAGGAGTCAGGCCTTTGAGGAAGGAGCTGAACCACATTTCCACAAGCTGGCTTGTTTTCTGTGAAGTGCCTCCACAGAGCTGGATGGGGTTCTTGTCAGCCTTGTTTTCAGTTAGCTATTTAAATTCCATTGTACATCTCAGCCCTATAAACACAAAACATATCATTGTCCAAATCTGAGATGTGCAAACATCAGATGTACCATTGTCCTCATTTTTAAAATGGAGAACTGAAGAAGACCAGGAAGCACAAACCAAAAAGGATTTAGGTGGTCTGAACTCTGTCCTTCATCTGAAGAACATATAACTAACACAGACAGGTCTTTAGATTCCTAGCCCAATGTTTTAATCTTTCCACTCCAGTAGCATGAGTAGATGTGCCCTAGCTGTACCTCTTTCAGCTACTGCTAGGAGAACAGTAAATGATTTCATGGTCTTCATGTTTTTCTCAGACTTGCAAACATTTTGAGGAGAAATACCATTTTTAGGTTGCATACAAAAATGTTTCTCCATTTCTGGAGTGTTTTTCTGGAGTGTTTTTCAAGTTCTTGTCGATTCTTTTATTCATCCTTCTGTTGCATTGCAGTCTGATAATAGGTCTTCCTTTTCTCACCCACCAGAAGCTGGAAAGCCATACCAGGAAAGGCCAGGTATGCTTGTGCAGTGCTGGTTGTACTTCCTGCATGTGCAGTGGATCACTGACTCTATTCTGCTCTGCAGGTTGACTCCTACGATGTGATTGTGGAAGAAGATCTTGGAGAAATTCAGCTAATAAAAATTGAGAAACGGAAATATTGGTACCAGGATGATTGGTACCTTAAGCATATCACTGTAAAAACACCAATGGGGGACTATTTGGAGTTCCCGTGTTACCGCTGGATTACAGATGAAAAAGAGGTTGTCCTTCGAGATGGAAGAGGTGAGAGCCGTAAGAAACCAAATTTCCTGCAGAACATCCAGAATTATTCCATCTCTCCTTTCCCTTTCCCTGTGTACCTCCCAGTCTTCTCTCTCATATGGAGACCCACTGCCAATCTCCTGCATCCTAGAGAATGGGCTTTCCATGCTGACTACAAATACTTTCTAAGCAGTTTGTTTGGCTAAGCACTGGCAGCTGAGTTGGGCATTTTGGGAAGCACATGCAAGGAAGAGTGCTTACATTAGCTTCTTACACTGGTCTTGAATTCGAAGGCTAGCCCTAAAACCACAATTTTGACTGCTCCACGTCCCCATTGCTGAAAGCCCTTTTGATTAAATTAGTGTTCTGTCTTTGTTTCATACTAAGTCCGTGAGTGACCCATGATTAATTGCCTGTAACTTGTCTTGTTTTCATGAGAGTGAAATAAGATCCCAAAGAAGGCTGCTCAGCAGGTGCAAGGACTGATTTGAAACAGCAGCTTACTTTTCACCCCTTCTCTTTGCATGCCATCAAGTCCAGGAGAACACAGGGTGGTGGGTTTGTCTGCTGCAAATAGTGGTGACCAATTGAGATAAGTGTTTTAGCTGTCTCTGACTAACTACTTGATATGGTATGGGTTAGGGCAGACATTTGTCACTGATGTTTGCTTGTTCCCCTCTGTGCAGCCTGGAGTAGGTGGGCTGCTGTGGTGGTCTGCAGCTTCAGTGCCTGAAAACAGCTGAAACAAGTACAAGGTGGAAAGAAATAAATGTATATCTTCCCCTTAAGTTTTTGTCTCCCCTTGGCTAAGGGATTTTGTATTTGAAGCTTTTTGTTAGAAGTCTGTCTGAGAGGTCTCAATTTTTCATAATTGGATTTATAACCACTGTAACTCTTCCATGGAAGGCAGCTTGGCATGGCTTTTACAGTATGGTGATGTAAAGGACAAAAGTAAGTGAAACCCTGTTGCTAACTTGAACACAACCAGCTGGAAATCATTAGCTATGTGTGTTATCAGCTGTATTACCTCTGATATTTCCAACCCCAAGCCCCAGACAGCTCTTATAATGAAATTCCTACTGGTTTTATCTGCCTTCCCATTTGTGTATTTAAAGTGAGTCACATACCTTGCTCTTTCGCTGATCACTAAGGAAGTCTCTGATTTATTTAATGGTATATTGAATTCATGGTCAGAAGAACAAAATGTCTGGAAATGAAGCCTCATTGTTTGTCCTCTCTGTTCTCATGGCAAGAAGATATGATTATTGCCCCAAACTGACACAGGAGAGCACAGCTAAAGGAGAGAGGTTCAGAGAAGTTTCCTGTAGATGTCTTTTAGCAGAGAAGATGATCTGGAACAATGTTATGGTTTATCTTATTGATGCAAATTCCCTTAGGTACTGAAATTTGAAGTTCATTCCCATGACTCTCTTTAGACCATTGAACACTAGATACATACAGCAAGTGTCTACAATAGGAATACAGGTTTTATATACAGTTGAGACAGATGTTCCTAGCTTGAGCTAATTGCCCCTTGGAGGCACCAAGTTAGGAGTCTATCTCTTACAGATTCTCCAGGGACCTGTGTTCAACTTGAAGTACTATGTTGCATCATGTAAGCACTTCCCAGAGAAACTTTGTAAAGGTATAAATTAGAAGTTTGAAGGTTTGAAAACTTGATCTCCTTTTCAACACCTGGGCAGTGATAGATAGAGGAACCTCATAACCCTGTCTCTTTCCCCTGTTTCACAGCAAAGCTACCCCGAGATGACAAGACTCAGATTCTCAAGCAGCATAGACGCAAAGAGCTTGAGACTCGTCAGAAGATGTACCGGTGAGTTTCCCATAGCTCCTCAGAAGGTCCAGGGTCTGTTCACATCAGGTCAGAGTTCAGCAGAGTATGATCAGATCATCATATGGCTCGAATTACTGGGCTGCTGCTTAAGAGAAAGCAAATGTTACCATGTTGGCCATATCTGGTTTTTACTTACAGGGAATTCATTGTAAATGGTGATCATCCTGGTGCAAGTGACATTACGAGGTACTTGAAGCTCAGATAATCCTATCTGGAAGGCCTAAGTGGGAATTCAGTGGTGCAGTCTCTGTGTGGGCACTCTGGCACACGGTTGTAATTTCACAGAAGATTTGCAGGCGTATTTCATTCACCTGTTACAGGCAGTGCTTCAGTTTTGGAATGCAAACTGTACACATCAGCTTTTACTGCAGCTTTCTGGCTGCTGCAGCAAGCTAGTTTTAGTTGTTTCCTGTACCAGGGTGCAGTAGAAGATCTGGCCCTGTTTGAGTGGACTGGAATGTGCTAACAGAACATAGTTGTGATACCCATCTTTATACTACCGTGGACATTTTTTCCTAATGGGTGTTGCAGTGAGAAAATGCCACCTTTAATCAATGGGTAACTCCAGAGGGCACTAGACATTGCCTGTTGCTAGAGACATAGCCTGTTACAATAACTCAAGTTTCTTGCACTTGTGTCTCCTTATCATGAAGGTAAGGATCAGCACAGAGGGTCCATTCAGAACTGGTGGACTGAGGGTTGGTCTATGTGTTATTAGTATGTTTTGAATAAGAAAGGATCTTACTTACAAATTATGGGAAATGGAGCAGAGAAAAATAAAGTTCAAAAAGAGGTGTGACACAAAATTTTATTTACTTATGCAAGAGAAAGGCAAAACCATTTCCAGGGAAATAGCTATTTACAATTCAGATGCATAACTGATAACGCACAATGCAGTCTGTGTGTGGCAGGCAGTTTGGAAATACCACTGGAACTGTATTTTTACAATTCACTTTCTTTTGTTTTGATGTAAAATTGGGGCAGAAAATGTGTCATGACCATTAAGAGGTTGAGGGATTGAATCAAGACTCTCTGTGTTTCCTGGAGAGTTGCCTTTTGAAGGAATGCAAATACATGTCTGAGCACTTTTAGCTGCTGTTTCTCAGTGCTGCAAAAATGTAGTCCCAAGAATGAGCATGCATTGGGCAGCTGTTTGTCTCTGTCCCCTCCCCTCCCAATTTCAAGCCACTGCCAGTTTCAACCAAATGTGACAGGTGTTTAGACGTATCACAGATATTAAGGTAGGTGGTCAAGTAGGTACCTTTCACTGTACTTTTAGATTCTGTAGCATACTGGTAGGTATTGATGTAGTTTAAGTCACTGTTTTTGGGCCAAGTGAGTCTGCCACAAATTTCCATTATAGAGGTGAGTCACAGAAGCAGCACAGGTAGAGGAAAGACACAGTTCTCGTGCTGGTAAGGTTATGTGTTTCATCAAACCTCTCTTGTTTTCTCAGCTGGAAGGAGTGGCATCCAGGCTTTCCTCTGAGCATTGATGCCCATTCTCACAGTGATCTGCCTCGTGACATCCAGTTTGACAACGAGAAGGGAATTGACTTCATTCTGAACTACTCCAAAGCGTAAGTGTTGGCAGAACTTTAGGAGTTTTGCAGAATCTCTTCTGGGGCAAGGTAAGGCCCTGATCACCTTTTAGGTTTCATTGAATATCAAAATTGGATTATTTTCTCCAAGCTGGATCAGCAGTCAAAGTAGGAAAGAATTGAAGGAAATTTTGTATTTTAGTTTATTTTTAAATTATCAGTATTTAAGCTTTTCATGCTGGGAACTGACTGAGCCTCTGAATTCTCATTAGACAAGATTTTGACCATGGGTGGATGGAGGAGACATCAGTGACAAGCATTGGCAGAAGGACGTAGGCACCTGAAACCCTGAGCTTTTCACTTCGCTCTCAGTGTTGCCCCCTGGAGATACTTCTCTCCTCTGTTGGTAATAATTCAACCTTTCAGTCTCATACTGAAAGAAGATGGTATCAATACACCCTCGATATCCTGCTGGAAAAAAACTGTTCTAAGAAGCTCATCAGTTATCCACATCTGAGTGTAGTCTACTTAGGACAATGTCACTGTCCTCCCACTTTCATGTGTCATGTCATTGAGAAAAACATTGGATGGCCATTGGATGAGACTGAATAATCAATCCTGTAGAGCTCTTTGAAATAGTACAGGGTCAATGAGGCAAATAGGACTTCTCTGACCTGTGAGCCTCCTTCTGTGCTGTCTCAAATGCCCAGGTCATATCATACTATCTGAGATATCCCACCGTACTGTGGTGGGATAGTCTGACACCAGACAAGACTGGTCCAAGATTGCCCACAGTTTCTGCATCTGTGATTCTGTTAACATGCTGGTCTCTGCATATTTTGGAAAGGTTTTCCTCCTGCTATTTGAGTGTTCATATGGAAATTATGCCATCAAGCCTATGTTGGTAAGAACTAGTTGAATAGCCGTACTGAGAAACTTGCAACTTTAGTAAGAGTGAACACTTGCTTATCTGAGTCCATCTGAGGAACTGACAGTGACAGAAACCCCCATATGCAGCTGAATTTCACTACCAAGGCAGCATCAAATCCCATGGCTTATTCCAAGAGAATCTACCTGCTTGTTTTCTAATTCGGAAAATTGGAAGCTTTAAAGAACACAGGTTTGGTTTTTTCTGCCTGTGTTAGCTGTGCTGTAGATTTGTCCCTCCCTCTTCTCTTCACCACACCAGGATCCATTTTTCACAGCAGAATGATCCTTTGTAACCTCCACAAATATATCTTCCTTTCTATTTTTTTAGCAGAATAAATCTCCAGCAGGTGTGAACAGGGTGATGGGTGTGTTTCTGCAGCACATATGGCTAGGGGAAACATAGATCTTTCAGAGCTTATTGGAATAAGGCAGATGAATAGCTTTGAAGTCTGGGGCTCTCTAGCTTTCTATCTCATTCATTCTAGGATTTTAGAAAAATGATGGAACAGGACACAGAGTGCTTGCTCGTGTAGCTTTTTAATGCAATACTACCTGTTACACCAGAGACATGGCTGACGGGTCACACAAGGAGTTAGATTAATGGTACAAATGTGGACAGATGTTCCTTGCTCTCTGAGCTTGCCCAATGACACATGTATTGCCTCAACTTGGTATCTATGTTTAGACTTCCAAAGAACCAAATCTCTCATCTTTAATAAGAGCCAAAAGTTGAGGTCCTTTCTCATCTTATGAAATACCTTATTCCTCAAGCAGCCCTTTAGTATTCCATGGATTCTTAAAGCTTAAAGAAGTATTAAAGAATCTGAGCCTTGAGTGTAGATCCTTGGAAAAATCCTAGACTCTGATTTTGCTCTTCCACAAACAGGTGTTAGAACTCAGGCTTTCACGGGTCTTTTCATCAGCAGATAACGAACTTGATGATGACCATCAGAAATAGTTCTTTAGGAAAATAAATTTTAAAAAAGAAAATAAGCCAAGAAAACTCTGGAAGTTTATGTAATGTTGCTTAAAAGGTCAGATGAGATAATTTTTGATCTGTAGTCAGGACTTTAGTACAGTGTAGACCAAATTATCACACTCAGTCTCTAATTCCTAGTTTTTCTTTCCTCTATGTACAAAATCATAAATTAAATTATCAAACTGAGCTCATCAAATTTGATGATTTCACTTTCTTTACCTCCCAGAAAGTGCTGGGAGAAGAGCCAATGCATATCTGTGAAGTGCTCTGAGATTCAATCAGGTAGAACAACAGTACAGCTTGTTCACCATGAAACTGAGACAGGGGTGAAGCCATCCTGAAAAAGAGAAAAATCCATCATAGTTGTTGTGTTGTGCTCTTGTGAATAACCTGTGGCAAAACCAAGAAGTTCCAAGCAAGAGGTGAAAGGTGTGAAAATGTACAAACCCAGTGCAAGGTCATTGAGATCTTCTCTTGTTACCCTAGCAATAGCATAGTATTGCAAACCTTTACAAATCCTGTGTTTTCCAAGAGCTGTTGCTTCTAGCATGGTGTTAGCCAGTGCAAAACTGCTGTTTTCCAGCTCATATCGAAGGTCTGAGTGATGTAGGAGCAACAGCAGCTGAATGCCAGAGATGAGAGGTTTGCCATTAGGAGACATAACCAATATGAGGTTACATTCCTCTTCTGGCAATCCCATCCTGCCAGGCTGTGGCATGTTGCCAGAGATCCCGAGTCACAGCTAAGTGAAACTTGCAAGCAATTCAACAGAGTGCAGGGACATCTATTTTTGTCATTGCCTGTTAGTACTCCTCCCCATGAAGTAGGAACCTGAAACTGTATTGCAGATAGCCACCCATTCTGGAGAACTGGCATGGCACAAGAGTTATTTCAATGCTTTTTGTCTGGCACATTTGGCTGGAAAATCTAGCCTTAAGGTTTTGGTGGAGCGAACTGTGAAAATCTTTGGAGAATGAGCTACCCTGATGTGGTTTGGGAGTGTGGAACAACTATATGCAGTCATGGGGTGGAGATACGTGAGGGAAAGCATAGGACCTGCCTTCAGTCTGAGTGCAGGAGGAAGGAAGACAGGGAGGTGTGTCTGGAAATCCAAAGGCAGGTGGAGAGCTGCATGGTGTAGCAGCAGGCAAGGAGCACATTTGAGGAGACAGAGTTGTATGAGACTTAAGGAGTAGTGGAAGAGGGGAGGGGAAAGCCTTTTTGCTTGGGACATGCAAAAATTAATTTAGAAAGAGGAAGATGTGTCTTGGCTGTTCTTTATGCTGTCGCAAGATTGGATCTATAGATGCTGTTGGCAGTGGATAGCTCTAAATTTACAGGATTAATTGTGTGTAGGTGGGGATAATCCTGAAGGTGTCCAGTGCTGACGTGACCTACACTATCTAGCAAATGGAAACTCTCAGCCTGGATTCTGTACAAGAAATGCAGGCCTGGGTAGCTATTTTGGACCAGGGCTGCATTTCGGCAGATTAAGTTCTACGAGCAGCTCTGCCATTTTTTCCTTGCTCTGGTTTCTAGTATGTGCCAGAGATACTTGAGAAGTACTTGATTTCTTGGGGAAAACAGGTTTTTATTTCCTAAGTCCTTTGGAACTTTGTTCCAAGATAGGAAATGTGAAAAACATCCTTCCTCCTTTTGGAAGTAATCTTTGAAACGCCTGAGAATGAACACCTGGCATTCAGCAGGTCAAACCACAGCAGGTTTGTGGTTTGACTAGACCCCAGGTGCTGTGCCCACTGCTTGGTTTAATCAGTAGCCCCAGGTAGGAAGAGCATCCTGGGCAGGAGAGGAGCAGTACATATCAGCTCATGTGTCAAGTTTTTTATAATCTTAGAGGAGTCCTGAAGGAGGGCAGAGGCTCTACAGGACCTTTAGTGGAAACTCTCAAATGAGACAGTCTCGAGTAATTCTTCTCAAGCTAATGAGTTATGTTTTCTAAGATAATTTACATTTCTGGTGATGGCCATGCTTCCTCTTGGAGTTCATCTGTGGTTCAGATACCTAGTACCTATCCAGAAAGTCCTGCCCAGTAGTTACCCTCTCTTTGATCCTTTGATTGATGTCCCTGTCAGGTGTGAACAGACCTTTGGAGAGATCATCTCCTGTTCCAGGCTAGACAGTCATGAGAGTTTTACTTCCTAACACACGTTCAGGCACCTCTTAACCTTGACTGCCATCTGCAGCAGCAGGAACAGCCCATTCTACATGCACCCCACCTGGGCTTAGTGCAGAAGCAACTCCTTTGTCTGGGCTAGAGCACTCCTCCAGACTACCACTTGCTGTTTCTCCAGGCTTTTAGTCCTGTTCTAACCCAGTTCTTTTCATAAGTTTACTGGTTATAAATCCACCCTTCTGGGATTCTTCCTCTCACAAATTCTGTTTGGGAGGACTTCCTGCAACACTGTGACCTTTCTTAATTTTGTCATCTGCCCTGCTTACCTTTGTGCACTGTGTGTGCTTTTATTTGTGCATTTGAGGTGTTAATGGGAAGTCAGCTTTCTTTGTCAAACCCATTGTTTGCTTTCTAGTCAAAGTAAATGATTTCTGTTTAATAACAGCAGTTTAGCATTTATGTAATAATTTAGGATCTTTCATCTCATAAGAAGGGTACTTGCCTGACTGTGCTGTAGACAGAATACTTTGCTGAATTAGCACTTCAAGTCAGACATTTCTGGTTCATAGCCTACTGTGTTTATGTGATGTCTGTAACCAAGCAACTTGGTTCCTGAGGTTAGAGGTGAGCATCAAGTTTAACCAACAGCTGAAGTGAATAGAAAGCTCTGGAAAACTCAGGTCTCACAGTGCAGGGATTGAGTCTGGCCTTGGTCATGTAGATACTTAACTCTAGGTGTCCTTTGTTTAGGACTAGTGGCTGACTGGTCTTGGGTTGTGCTTGCTCTGACTTTGTGCACATCACTTAATCTCTTTGCGTCGCCACATCCCTTTCTGAACTGGTGCTAATAATGATCTCTCGGCTGATGCTAGTGACTAACAATGTGTAAGGCACTAGTTTTTCTGACTGTAGTTTTTATATGACATAGGTCTTAAAGTACTGCCATTGTAGGTGGATGAGAACAGATCTAGAATGTAGTTCTACATATGCGATAGCAGGAGCTGAATCCTTGATATCCTTTCAGGCTTGTGTGTAAAGGTACAGCCTGCAAAGGTAATTCTATTGGGTGACCAATCCCACATTGCACCACTAAAAAATCTAGTGTGTTTAGATATTAAAAAAAGGTAGAAAAGAATTGGGAGAGGTTTTGAGGAAGCTGGAGATTTTTTTTAATTCAGATATGCTTTATTTTGGTTTATTTTTAGGATGGAGAATCTTTATATCAACCGTTTCATGCACATGTTCCAGTCCTCCTGGAGCGATTTTGCAGATTTTGAGAGGATCTTTGTCAGAATCAGCAACACCATTTCAGGTGGGTTTATCAGCATCTGCTCATGTTTGTTTCATAGAATGACTAATTATGTGTCTTGTACACATCTGATTAGGGTGGAAGTGGCTGACCTGCTCTTCTGCTCTCCCATAAATAAACTGTAATCTCAGACTGCTGATCCCATCTTCATTCTGCAAGACTAAAACCCCAAAGCTATGATCTCACAAGGAACTAGAATTACTGGGAATTTCTCAGTGACCTTCTCTGTCCTGAGCTATACTAGGCATCAGGCTAGCAGGCATCATAGTCCTTTTTGTCTTTTGGAAATGTATTTAGTATGTCCAATCCCAAAGGACAAATCTTCATTAAGTGCTTTGCATCTAAACCTCGAGGTATCTTAGTGGGAGTGCTTTCAGATCGTATCAGCTGTTAGTTAAGGCATTTTGAAAGTTTGATCATGCATATCCCACTTTGGCCACCTAAATACATGGAAAATCTCCAAAGAGGCAAGTCTGGTAATGTTCTCTGCTAAGGGCAAGTATGAGGGTGACTCCTCTTGTGTCTGACATAGACCAGATCAAAGACTATTGCCTAACATCCCAGCCATGTGCTCAGTCCTGGTTGCATCCCTGCTAGCAGTCCTGGCTTCTCGACCCTGTCCCAGCACAGGGCAGGTACCACTGCCTCAGATCTGCTCTCATAACCTCACCTGTAGCTCCCCTCAGTTGTTTGTCATGGACCATTTGTGTCAGTGACATGGGGCAGCTCAAATGCTTTTAAGAGGCAAAATGTCCCCACAGGGGTTGTTCTGGCAAAACTAATTTCAGACATGAAAGCCCATGGTGTTAGGCCAACAGATCTGGGGATGGGTTGCAAAGATCTGGGAATGATCTGGGAGCTGTAATTTCTTTACCTGGTCCTGCTGCAGCCAGGATGGGCCATCAGACCACAATCCAAGGAACTCTGGTTCTTACTGGAAATTAGAGCAAGCTAGACCTGTGAAGGCTTGTGGCATTTATCTAAAATGATGTCTCTTGTCAAAAACGTGTCAGAATTAGTTGTGCAGATTGCATTAAATGTCCTGCTGTGCTTGCCATTTCACACTCACATCTTCTTACTAGAAGACAAAAATAGCGTGAGTTTCACTTTGTCATACAAGGACTTTCAGTTTCTGCAGTATCTTTCATACCATTAAAAGCTCCATTGATGTAGTACTAACATACAAAAGATACAATACTTCATTTCTTTAACCCTTTTCAACCTGGAAATCTTAGCAGTTACTTGAAAACCCAGTAAAAGGAATTGCAGTCAAGGGTTTTGTAGTTCATGATGCCTTTTCTGTAGAGCAGGGCTGGGGAGCTTTTGATTTGTGAGCCAGACCCAACCCTCTGCTATTGCCCATGGTTGCTTTATTTTACTGTATTATTGGATAGAATAGACTCCACAAATGTGTGCAAATAGGCAGTTTAGATTCTGCAAAGGAAAATACTTTTTCCTCTTCCTCTGAAGTTTTTCTCCTCCTCAGGCTGCTTAGGGATCTGCTCACAGAAATATGGATAATTCTATGATCTCGGATATAAATCCAAGCACACAAGATGGGAGAGCTATGAGAAACTAATTGTAGCAATTTGTTACATTTAATAAGATTGCTGCCTAAAGTACTTCTAACACAAGAATTAGATATGATCTGCAATTAATGTCATTGATAAAATTTCCATACTCATGAGGAAAGCTCTAATTCTGTGACATCTAAACATTAAGTCTTGGTCTCAGTCACATTAGTGCAACTCTGAATCTGCATTTTTGCAAGCCTTGGCAGAAACAGGGCTAATGGAGAAAGTGGTTCAAAGCTTTTTTCAGTCATGTAGTTTCTGTCCAAGGTAGTGAATCATTTTTTGCTTGGTATAGACTTCAGATACAGTTCCAGACTCATCATGCCGATGACAGAGATGATATAAACTTAACTTTTTTTCTTGCTCTGTTAGAAAGCATTGTGAGTTTTGAGACTTTATTTCAATTACCACTGCATTCATTTAGGCCTACCTTTTTCATCCTTTCACCCTTTTCAGAAAAAAATTCATTGCTTTCAGAAAAAAATCTGCCTTGTCTGGAAACAGACAATAGTGGAAACCTTAGCTAGCTTCATTTTCCCACTCAAGACACCAATAGGATTTTTCACATTAACCATGATTTTTCTGACTCTGAAATTGTAGACTGAAGTGGTGACATGACATTACAAAACAGAGCACTACAACTGTGGAAAACATCCAGCAATGCTACATACATAATAGTAAAGAGGAGGAGTACCCCAAACCAGCATTTTATTGAGATGTTAATCTGGGTTTATATTAGCAATTGAAAAATAAACAGAGGGAAAAAAAGTCAAATAAGCAAAACAATGAATGAGGAATTTTATTGAGTCAAAGTCCATACCCTTTCCCAGGTGTCACTCACACAGCTCCAGCTAAGAGAACTGCTCCAGACACTGCTGTTCTCTCTTAACACACACTGCTGTGTACTTCCCTTCTGCCTGTGCCATCTGGTTTTGGACCCATCCCTCTGTACTGCATGCCCTGAGAATTTGAAGAGTGAGATTTAAAAATATCATGGCAGACCTGAGAAGGTGATCTGCAGATGAAGAGAGTATTTTTTTGTAGAAGTAGAATATTACACTCCTCATTGCTTCTGTACATGGAGAAACAAGTTATTATCAATACAATTCTTCTCAAAGTGAGAAGCAAAGGTTAAATTGTCCATTTAACTTCATTGTTTTTTTCTTAAAATTCTATGATGCCTTTTGAATCCTTTTCTTGCTGCTTTCTGTGGTCATAGTAGCACTGCAGTGTAACAAAAAGGTGAGGAGGAAAGGAAGAATCCTGCAATGCAGGAGGGTATTGATGCAGTGCAGGTACTGATGCTGCAGGCTTGTTTTCCCTTTAGAATATGTGATGCAGCACTGGAAGGAAGATTTTATGTTTGGCTATCAGTTCCTGAATGGATGCAATCCTGTGCTGATCCGGAGATGCACAGAGATACCCAAGAAGATGCCTGTGACTATGGAGATGGTAGAATGCAGTCTGGAGAGGAACCTGACGCTGGAGGAGGAAGTGAAGGTATAGCTCTGGGTCAGGTTGGACTCCACCTGTTCCTTCTCATATTTTCTAACCTCCAAACTCTGTTCTAACTGCCTTCAGCAGCATCTCCTCTCTTTGAGCTGTGTGGTTGGTCATGGCAAGGCCATTTGTCTTTATAGAGTGGCAATGCTTCTGTTTTCTCCTGATGTCCTGGAGCTGCAGGCCATGCCATTCTCCAGGTCCAGTGAAAGTGTTGTCACTGGGAGGTGAAGGTCCTTTTTCGGTGGTTTTCTCTGAACCATTAGGGATTGACTGAATGTCTCAGAGGGGAAATACAACTATTCCTTTCCTGGTAGGGTCTTACCCTGTTGTCACTTTCAGAGTTGAACTAACATGCTGAAGAAAGGTTGGCAAGAGTGGTGCCTTGCTTTTATTTGTACAGTGAGGTTCTCTTCATCTGGCAGTGTGAAACACGTTTATATCTGAGGGTCACTGCATGAGTCCAGACACAGATACCCTTTGCCGAAAGACTCAGTCTCTGCAGACACGAGTCAGGTAGTTTGTGAAATGGTACTTGCTATCTCAATGACATCATCCTTGAGCCACCATGAGCAAGGGCAGGCCAGTGGCCACTTGTAACCACCAGGCACAAGTCAGTCTCTGGCCAAGACTTTCCTTTCCTTTGTACACCTTTAAAACACATCATGTTTCTTTTTTATCTTTCACTTTTTCCACAGCAAGGAAACATTTTCATTGTGGACTATGAACTGCTGGATGGTGTGGATGCCAATAAAACAGACCCATGCACCATACAGTACTTGGCTGCACCCATTTGTCTGCTGTATAAGAATCTGGAGAAAAAAATTTTACCCATTGCAATACAGGTGGGCTTACAAAGGGACACACTGCTTGTTGTCTCATCTTAAACATGAAGGACTAGGGGTTTCACATTCTTTTTGTATCTTTCAGCTTGGTCAAAAGCCTGGGCCAGACAACCCCATATTCCTTCCTTCAGATGCCACATATGACTGGCTGCTAGCTAAAATTTGGGTGCGCTCATCTGATTTCCACATCCACCAGACAGTGACCCACCTCTTACGGACACACTTGGTCTCAGAGGTGTTCAGCATAGCTATGTTCCGGCAGCTGCCTGCTGTACATCCCCTCTTCAAGGTTGGTTCTTGCACGAAGGCAAGTATGCGGGCTAGGGTGGTTATCACATCAGTTTGACAAACCAAAAGGAAGTTCTGGTGATAGCTCAGCTGAAATAGTTGGCAAGATACAGCTAAGCCAACAGAACTTTCAAGACTTCAAACTTCACATCTGGTTGCTGTTGATTTCCATCTAAGAATTTGTCTTCTTTCATTGCTTGTTCCATTTCACAGCTCTTGGTGCCACACATGCGATTCACAATAGCCATCAATACCAAAGCCCGAGAACAGCTTATCTGTGAATGTGGCCTTTTTGATAAGGTAGGTAATCCACTTTGTGAATCTTCATTGCTTTTCGTGGTTACATAATGTGCTTTAAACCTTTAATCATCACATATTGCCTTGATTCTTGACCCTTCTAGGATAAGCATAACCAATATCACCCAAGAAAGTGGAACACAGAACTAATGCCTTGTGTTAAAGATATTTTCTTTTGCCTCTTGGTATCCAAATCAGAACTGGCCAATTTCAGTCAGTATCTCACTCATTGCTGATGTGGCTTTGGGCTATAAGTGTAGGACTGCAAAGTATTGTAATATGCACAAAACTTTCTGCACATGTATGCACACAGTTAAGTCCCTAATAAAAGTTCTTTTAAGTACTCAGTTACTCATCTAGGGGCAGTGTGGTGAGCAAAAGAATTTGTGATTGCAAAAGGAAATTTTCACCACAGAAATACATGTAGGTAAGAGAGATTTCTAAGGCTACAAATAGTGGATGTATTTTCAAGCTTGTCTTGTTGAATTGCCATAAACAGCAGGTCTGCTAGGATTAAAACTGACCTTCATCTGAATCAGTGAAACATAACAATACATCATACCTCTATCAATGATTTGGATGAGCAGATCAAGTGCATCCTCAATAAGTTTGCAGATGACACCAAGCTGGCTGAGAGTGTCAATCTGCTCAAGGGTAGGAAGGCTCTGCAGAGTGATCTTGACAGACTTGCTCAATGGGCTGAGGACAACAGAATGACATTCAGTGAGGCAAAGTGCTGGGTCCTGCCCTTGGAGCGTCTGGAAAGCTGCCCAGCAGAAAGGGACTTTGGGGGCTGAACATGAGCCAGCAGTGTGCCCAGGTGGCCAAGAAGGCCAATGGCATCTTGACTTGTATCAAGAATAATGTGGCCAGCAGGACCAGGGAAGTGATTGCCCCACTGTACTCAGCACTGGTGAGGTTACACCCTGACTGCTGTGTTCAGTTATGTGCCCCTTAATGCAAAAAGATTATTGAGGTGCTGGAGCACGTCTAGAGAAGGTCAACGAAGCTGTTGAAGGATCTGGAAAACATGTCCTATGAGGAGTGTCTGAGGGAGCTGGGATTGTTTAGTCAGGAGAAGAGGAGGCTCAGGGAAGACCTTGTCACTCTCTACAGCCATCTGAAAAGAGCTTATAGTGAGGTGAGAGTCAGTCTCTTCTGCCCTGTCTCAAGTGAAAGGATGAGAAGAAATGGCCTTGAGCTGTGCAGAGGAGGTTCAGATTAGTTATTAGAAAACATTTTTTTCACTGAAAGAGTGGATAGGCATTGGAATCTGTTGCCCAGAGAGGTGGTAGAGTCATCATCTCTGGAAAAGTTCTTTTAAGTACTCAGTTACTCATCTAGGGGCAGTGTGGTGAGCAAAAGAATTTGTGATTGCAAAAGGAAATTTTCACCACAGAAATACATGTAGGTAAGAGAGATTTCTAAGGCTACAAATAGTGGGTGTATTTTCAAGCTTGTCTTGTTGAATTGCCATAAACAGCAGGTCTGCTAGGATTAAAACTGACCTTCATCTGAATCAGTCATCATCTCTGGAAAAGTTTGAGAGGTGTGTGAATGTGGCAGTTGGGGATATGGTTTAGGGGTGATTATGGTGGTGCTAGGTTGATGGATGGACTAGATGACCTTGAAAGTCTCTTCCAAACTTGATGATTCTGTGATCATGGGCTGCAATGCAGTTCCTGGGTCAAATCTGAACATTTAAATCTGACTGAACTGGTACTTAAGATGTACTCAGCTCTTCCTCTCTTGGCTCCCCAAGTAATTGAATGCTGCATGCATCTAGGAACTTCAATAGATTGGCACGCAGCAGTCTCTGTGACAACATGCTAGAAGCAAATGGGAAGTTTGGGACAGTTTCAGAAGTCCTTTCAAAGAGTGAGCCTATGTTTCAGGACACCTCTGTCCTCCTTACACAACTGGCACCCGACCAAAAATAGCTACTTTGCTTCAGAGTTTTTCACCCTAGTATAAAAAGAAGGAAGGCACCTTCCTTCTTGTCTGTACTCCACTGCTGACTGTGGAGACCTCCCATCACTTTAAACAGAAGCACCGTATCAGTACTCCATGCATGTGGAATAAGACCTGCCAACAAGGATCACGAGGTTCCAGGATTTGTTGGTTCCAATGTAGATGAACAACCAGCCAGAAGACGATAATTGTAAGGTGACTACTGCTACAATGATAGCATCATATGCTAGAAAAGCAACATCTGGGAACTTCTGTGCAGGGATTGCCTAAAAACTTATACAGTGTTGTTTGCTGTGGATACACTGTCCTTTCCAGCTGTAACATAGACTGAAACCCTGGCCAATCCTTGTCAGTAGCCACCCAGCAGGACTAATTTCCTGGCATAAATTCCTGAGTGGCTAATGGTAGCCTGTATCCCTAAACACTTTCTCCTAAAAGTACTCTGTAGCAGCAGTGAGTAACTTAGCTAAAGCCCTCTCCTTACACACTCATGGCTGCCTTCCTTCACACATGCCCTGGTTCTGGAGCTTAGGACGGGCAGAAAGTGCCATCCTTCAATGTTGCTGTACTTTATTACTGTATTCCATATAAGCAGGTGTTGTACCTATAGTGAAAATGTGCATATAAACAGTGATACATGGGAGAGGTGTGAAATCTGTGAAGTCAAAATGCACAGTTGCAGCAGACCTCTGCAGTTTGATGCTTTGTGTGAGATACAGTCCTTGAAAAACAGACTCACCAGCATTCTGAACACCATCTCCTGTGGATTTGGAAAGCCAATCTTGGCACACAGTGAACATAATCTCCTACTGTTCCCATCTTGCCATTCTTCCTGCAGGCAAATGCCACGGGTGGAGGAGGACATGTACAAATGGTGCAGAAAGCAATGAAGGATCTGACTTACAGCTCCCTCTGCTTCCCTGATGAGATCAAAGCTAAAGGGATGGACAGCAAAGAGGATATCCCCTACTACTATTACCGGGATGATGGCATTAAAGTCTGGGAGGCTATAAAGAGGTAAAAGACCTTAGTTCTGGAAATGGCTAATAAAGTCACTGTCACAGAGACGCAGGCCTCATTTATTTTCTGCTCACTTTGTTCTTCATCACATCTTGTGAACACTCCCTAGGCTGTTTTGTCACATGGTGCCTTTTCCATTTAACATATCTCATCTGAGAAGAAATATATAGTCAAGCACACACTCTTGAAAGACTAATTCCTGTTGATTTCAGTGCTGTTTTCTTGCGTTCTGTATTTCAGAGGACCCTTTCTAAGTATGTACTCTTCTATAGGATTTCACAGAATTCAGTGAGTTGGAATTTAGCTTGCAAAGGGAATTTGACTATCTTTTATGTTCACTGTGCACAAACCAAGAGAGTTCCCAGCTCTCTGAGCCAGCCACAGACTTCATCAAGGTTCTTGTGGAGCAGAAATGTAAGCTTGACTTCCATGAGACTTGTGTTTCGAAACTCAATAAATTAAGTATTAACCGAATAGAGCAAAACCTTTCTTAAAATGCCTTAAAATTGCAAGGAGTTTAATCAGGAAGACAGCAATTCTGAGTCAGGAGAGGTAGTACAAGGCTGCCTGACCACACAAACATGGCTCCTTTTCAGACCTGAAACACTGCCTCAAACTGGAATGATTCATATGGTTTTTATTCTGCAGTGGCATTTAATTTAGCAAACAACATATTTCTGCATGGCATAAGTTGCTTGCTAAGTATGCAGCTGTTTCTGATCACATGGCTTTTGGAAAGCATGTTCATTAAAAGTCAGATCTTTTGTGTACACGAAGCAGGAAGTTTATGATAGAAGTATAATATTCAAAATGTTGGGTTTGCCTTTGTCTCTTGTGTTTTCTCTGTGTTTTGACATGAGTTATCTTGCAATATTTCCTGCAATTGTTAATGTCCATTTGAGAGAAAAGGAAGTTGTAACTCTGCTGTGGTTGCTTTCTTTATGTGGCCCAGGGTTTTTTCTCCTTCTTCTCTTCCTGTGTTTTCTTTGTGAATTGAGATATTCCTTTCAAATACCAGGTAGTACCTACTCAACTTAATTTGAAGGTTTGTGGGTGTTAACCTCACTGGAGGATGATGTTACACTCCCTCAAAATTGGCTAAGAGATTCTTCACAGTAATTTGGTTTATAAATGGTGCAGGAAGTACCCTGATGCATGAACCCATGGTCATCCATGTGTCTAGTCACCATGAAACTCCTGCACTCTGCAGGGGTGTCAGTCCACTGTTCTGATGAAGTAACTTCTATCCCCAGCATTACTTAACATGTAGTAGATGGTTTAAACTTAAGAAAGGTGATAAGGTTGTCCCTATGGAAACAATGAGTCAGGTAAGATTGTCCCTATAGAAACAACAAGTCTCAGCAAATTCGTACACCCCTTCTCTAATACTCAGCTCCCTATTCTTGCTCTAACTGCAGACAGATAAACCAACCCGAAGATGCTTCAGCCTAAAAGGTCTCACCCACACTTCATACATTAATTTATATTTGCATTTGTTTTTAAACACTCAAAGCATATACAGGGGTTTAAAATGTGTAGGGGTTAAAAATACTGTCATTTTGTAAGGATTACCTTCCATATCACCTGGCACCTGTGCCAAATGCATGGAGACAGTTCATGCAGGGCAGCTTTCTCTTTGCATGTTGCATAATTTTTCTTTGCCTTTGGCTTCCTCTGAAAGCTAAAATCACTTAAACTCTTGGTGTTTATACAGCTTTTGGTCTGTCTCAATGACAACACTTGATGTGGTTGGCTGATAGGAACCATATTGATGGATTTGCAAATGTCTCCAAATTGCAATAAATTTATAGAATGTATAAATGTGTATGTTATTGAGGGATAAACCTCTATTGTATAACAATTCTTCATCCCATCAGTCAACTTCTGCAGTTAAATGTTTCACCCTGTGGGTTGTTGTCAATATATTTAGCAAGAGATTGGAGGTACCTGCAGAGCTAACAATATTCCAGCATAGCTCAGTTAACCATTCAGTCATGAACTGCAAATCTTCAGGAAATCAGGCTTACTTATTTTTACTACTTTCAGAACTATTTCTGTTATCATAGTGTTTTAAGAGCCTTTCTTTCAGAGGTGAGCTAGCCTGGAAAGATTTCATAGAAAGAGGGATCTTGAGAAGAGGAGCTGAACAGGGAGGAGACGTCCGCTGCAAACAGTGGGTATAGGAAATAGCTCTAGACCTCTTCTACCCCGGAGAAATTTCCTGGGCCACTCCCATTTTGGAGCATGACACTTGTGTTTCATGAAAAGGATGTCCAATAGGAGGGATCACCTATTTGAATGGTGTTCAAGAACAGCTGTCCCATGTACAGGGGATGGTACTGGGGAATCACAGCTGGCGAGTCACACTCCCCAGTGTGACAGCCATGTGGATGTGCAACAGGGAATCTGTATTATGTGAAGAAAAGTATGTAGATGTGACAACAGAGCAGGGCAGGAGCAAAGCCTCAAATAAGAGAATAAAGTCCACAGGGTTGTTCAAGGGATGCAGTGTGGTCCAGCATATTTTTGTTGGGGGAGGAAGTGATGCTGCAGTCCCGAACAAATCAAAGTTGCCTCTATGCATTCCTGTTGCTTGTAGAAAGGAGGCAGGTGAGTGCTGGAACCTTTTCTTGCCCTTCTTTCTTTCCCCATGCAGCATCTGCAAGGTCAAGATCTTCAGGAATGGCAGACTTGCTTTCTCCTTTTAATTTTGTTTTGTTCATTTGTTCCTGTCTGCAGTTTTGCAGAGGACGTGATTCACATCTACTATGAGAGCGATGAGGTGGTGTGTGAGGATGTGGAGCTCCAGGCCTTTGTCAAAGACATTTACGTCTATGGGATGAGAGGTGTCAAGGCCTCAGGTAAGGTATGATGGCCCAGCCATTGTCTGCACCTTGTCCAGTCCCTGCTGACAGAAGTGCTGCATGCACAGCACGCCTTGAGCTGTTGGAGACCTCCCTTGTTGGCCCTTGGTTTTATGGGTGAGACCCTGGATCATGTCCTTCCTCAGGAGACAATTCCTTCCTTTGCCACAGATTCTCAGAATGAGCTTGGGCAACTCGTGAAATCCCTCTACACTGGGGACAGGTCCTTTGATCTTGTCTGCTCAAGCTTTAAGCATTAGCAGGAGGCTGTGTGTATGTGCTGTTGGAACCACCAGGCAGACTGATAGAAATCACAGGGAGCAGTGAGACCCCCTTGAATCCTCCACTCGAAACTTTGCACTGAATAAGAACATGTCAGAACCTCCCCAGGAGTATCTTGCTGCACTTTGCATTTGTTCAACATCTTTGTCATCATTGAGCTGTTCTGCTCTCTTCAAGAGAAGATACTCATAATTATTTCCAAGAAGCATTTTCCTTTGCTCTGTCTCCTCTCACTGCCTCTCTTTTCTAGCAAACCATTACTTGGCCATGGGAGCTCTCACCCTTATATAACATGGCTCTATTCTCCCACCTGAGTTCACACTCCCCTGCCCCTGTAATTCCCTAAACTAGTTGGGTTTTTTCTTTCACTCACATTTTTTCCAAGCAGATTTTCAGGAATTTATAGAGATGGGTGGGGATTATTCATACTCTCAAGGCTGATTTACATCTGGGAATACCTGTTGGCCAGTGACCTGGGGCAAATGGCTTTGGTGTTGCATGCACACGTTTTTGTGCAAAGTGTCCAGGCAAAACCATGATGTTTCCAGTCATTACCTGTATGTGGTGGTGTGTAACAGCCTCATGGGCTTTACCTGCCTGGACAAGAAAACAATTGGGGTACACCTATTTGTTATCATTTTTCTTTGTCTATGTGTCTCTTAGGAAAAGCTTAGAAATGGCCTCCTAGTAGGAACTTTGTGCTTGACTTAAGCATCTTGATATGGGACGAGTACTGAGCCTTTCCAGGGCTACAACTGGGGTGGGACACTACAAGCATCACTGGTGGGTGGACTGACACTACAGATGGAAAACCTGTCAGGCCTGCAGCATCCCTGTCTGCACTGCTGCCACTCCAAGGGCTGTGGCAGAGAGCAGGGAGACTTGACTGCATCTGTAAAGAATGGGAGGAGGGTAAATGGGTGAGGCTACGGCACCTGAAGCTCCCCATCCAGTCTCTATTTCTTCCCTGGGAGGGCTCCTATGACTGAAAGAATGCCAAACTCCTTTAAAGATGAGCACAGTGTATTTAGGATAGCAGGACACAGGAGGGGATGGTGAATCCTCTCCTCTTTGGGCTTGGTGGCTGGAGAGAGGTACCATGTGCCTCTTCCCTCTCTCATGCTGAGTTCACATCTGCATCAGGCTGGTGGTGGAGATATGAAGCATCTGGCACAGGCACCCTGAGCAGGGGTAGCTTGCTCCAGGGTGCTGACAGATCTCTAGGTATACTGGGACCTGTGGCCATCCTGGGCTGGGACAGGGAGTACAGCACAGGACTGTAATTTTTGAGCAGATGAGAGATACAGGCCTGGAGTTGCTTTGGTTGAAAAATGTTTCCCTAGTCCCTGACTATCTCTTTTTTCTTTATATAGCTCCATTTGATTATTCTCCTTCAAAGACAGCTTAATACAACTACTTCTGTTCCTCATTCTGTTGTTTCTCTTTCAGAAGTTCTCATTTCCTCACTTCCCATTTCAGCGAATAAACTCTCCCTGCACTCTCTCTCACCGAGCACTTGATTGCTGAGCCTCAGACCTTTAAAAATACAAGCACATGGTCACTTCCTCCTTGGCATGAGCCTTCCCTGCTTGCCCTGCAGACTGAAGAAAAATGGGACATCTGAGACCCCTACCCTGTGGACTCTCTGGGTTCCTTGCTGCAGGGTAGGTAGGACAGGGAGGGACATGGTGTTTTTTAAAGTCATAATTATGCATTGTCTTTCCCTCATGGGACACCACATGCTTTGCAAACAGTGGTGATGCCTCACAAACCTATACAAGGTAAGGCAGGATCACTGTTTTTACAGCTGCATAGCCAAGAAACAGAGAGGTTGAGTAGCTCCTGTTAGACCACACAGCAAGATTCACAGAATGCCCTGCTCTTCAGTGCTCTTCAGTGACCCTCTGACTCGTGTCTTCTGATCACTGCTGGGTAACAGGGTGACTTCATAGCTGGGCTATTTAAGTATTTCTTCTCCATCATTTAGGCTTTCCTAAGATGATCAGGACACGAGAGACACTAGCAGAATATCTCACAGTGATAATATTCACCACATCGGCTCAACATGCAGCTGTGAATTTTGGTCAGGTAGGAATTTGTGGGAAGACTGTTCTTTCTGGGCTGGGAGGCATATCCACCAGGACAAAGTCTGAGAAGTGGTTTTTAGTAGATAACCAGAACTGTGTTACTGCTCCTGGTCAAAAAGACTGCAGAGCCATCTGCAAATCCCCATGAAGTCTGTGGAAACTGAAATAATTTGGAAGCTGAGAAAGGCGTTTCAAATCTGACATATGCAGCAAAGCTCAGATTCAGAGGTTCTAACTTGTATATTTGAGTTTTACTGATTTTATTACAGGGAAAAGTTTTTTAAAGTATTTAAATAGGTTGCTAAATCCCCTTTAAGGAATGCTGGAGACTTCAGGTGCACAGCCTAGCTACCATGTTTTCCTGAACTGCCTGGATTTGAGATGTGCTGGTGGTAATCTGAGGCACATTCTGCAGTGAAATGCAATGAGTTATGCTAAGTGGTTTTACTCTGCCTTCGCTGTGAGTGCCTGCACAGGTAACTGCCATGGGTTGCTGCTATAAGCTGTGTTGATTTGGCAGTGTGCTTGTGCCAAAGCAGCATACATCCTGTTTTCAGATGTCATGTGCAGCACAGCCCAGTGCTGTGACTGCAGTTCATGTAGCTGCACTTGCCATCTGTCTTTGAGCTGGTGCAGCTGGCTGTTTCCAGCAGCTCAGTCCCAGCAGCACGGTGATCTAGCTGGTCCAATGGAGAGTCCTGAGTTAACTGCCTTGCACATCTGTAGGACATTCTCTTCTACTTTCTGCAGCAGCACCAACAAGAATCTACAAGGTAAAGCCCCATTGAAGTCAGTGGGATAGGAGCCCAGGTCTTCAATTACATCTAGATACCTAACTCCCACTGACATACATAGACATTTGGGGCAGTACATCTGTGAGGGTCCAGGTTTGGTGATGTATGGACACATTTTCAAAAGCAGCAATGTGTTTAATATTCCTAACACATGGAAAGGGCATTGTAGCTCATTTCTTGAGTTTGCTAGCCAAGTGGCAACTTTGAGCTTCCTCTGTGAAGTTTAATGTGTCACATACTGATAACCTGTATTACCTCTGCCTGCCTTTACTGACATATATCTGCCCTGAAATTACAGGAACAGCCTGCCTTTCAAATGTTCTTTCTTTCAACATCAAGGCATTTTGGAAAGCAGACTTGACAGACTTCACAGCAAATCACTTTGTCAGTCTGTATTGCACAGAACTTTTTCACAGAGTGGGTGGTCAGTCGTTGGAACAGGCTCCCCAGGGAAGTGGTCACAGTTCCAAGTCTGTCAGAGTTCAAGGAGCATTTGGATGATGCTCTTAGTCACATGGTTTAGTTTTAGGTAGTTCTGCAGGGAGCAAGGAGTTGGACTAGATGATCCCTACAGGTCCCTTCCAGCTTGAGATATTCTGTGATTCTATGAGCTTTTTTATTTTTGACACGTGTTCCAGCTTCAGGCATGGATGATCTCAGAGATATGATCTCAGAGATAAGCAGAGATCCCTCTTTCTTACAGTGATTATTGCCAAACATCCTACATCACTCTCCATGCTGACCCTCCTGCCCACCCCTGCAGCTCAGGAGCCCCGGAGAAGGTCTAGAACCAGATGCCAAACAAACCCACACTATTGCTGTGCCACATCCATGACCAGGGACCTCTATGACTATTCACTTCTAACCTGTCATTACAACTGATTGAGACATCTCCCAGCATCCCCCTCAGAAAATCCTGTCTGTTCAAGTACCACCAAGAAACTCTCTTAATTTGGCATACAGAAGATATTCAGTCCATCAGCAAAAGGGTCTTCGGTCATGGGAAAAAAAAGGCAGAGGGAGAAGGCTGAGGGTAGAAGGAGCACAGTGTAAGCATGATACACAGCTGAAGTGGGACTTTCTTTCAGGCAGAGGAGGGGATATATATGAAGGTAATGAAATGTGCTTGGAAAAGAAAGTCATGGTAAATGCAGCATCTCAGATGGTGGCAAAACTCAGGGTCATGTCTGAGGCAAAATGAAACATCACCACCTCACAACACTGGGGCAGGCAGAAGTGATTCTGAGTTCCCAGTCTGTCACTCACCACGGCCGTATCTGCATGCCATATTGCATGATGAACCAGCACCCTTTTTCTCTCTTATTGCCTGACCACAGTACTGTGGGCATGTTCTTAGAAGAAATTTTACAGAAAAAAAGAAACTGGATAAAAGGGGATTTTATAATTTATGTTTTTTCAGAGGTCACCTCAGGTTATCAGAAGAGATTTGTTTAATAAAATGACAAAGACCTTAGCCTGGCTGGTGAATTTGGATTTTATGGCACATACCTGTGGTTAGCAGAGTATGTTCTACTCCCGTTTAGATGGCCCAACTCTCTCTCTTGTGAGTTCCTGACAAAAACAGTAGGGACTTCCTTGTCACCTCCAGTCCTTCTCTAGAGCATCTCCCTGTCCTTAGTATCTTCCCTTTCTGAGGGGCTCATATTACCAAAACAAACTCCTTGTTCTCAAACTCCTGATTTCCTTTGCTGTGTTCCCAAATACCAGCTCCTGTAGCTTTTCACTGTGCTCTCTTGCTCTGTTGTGCAGTATGACTGGTGCTCCTGGATCCCCAATGCCCCACCAACCATGCGCTGCCCTCCACCAACGGAAAAGGGGACAGTCACCATCGAACAAATTGTGGAGAGTCTGCCAGACAGGGGACGTTCTTGTTGGCATCTTGGAGCTGTCTGGGCCTTGAGCCAGTTCCAGGACAAAGAAGTAAGTCAACTTTCCTTCTCTTCTAGGAGGCAGAGATGTAGGTGAGACCATGAGGGCCATGGCAGGACTGCATGGACTCATGAAATTGTAGTGCTGCTCTGTGCTTGACTTGACCATGTTTACCTTTCTGTGGAGATGCATCAGTGGTGTGGGTTTGCCCTTGTTCTGTCAGATGCAAATCAACTCTGAGCAAGAAGTCATATTTTTACTCTCAGGCTGCTTTCCTGCAAAATATGAAAGTTTCTAAGCTTGAGTATGGTATTGCTGAGTAAGGATGCTGGGGTGGGAGGAAGAGGGCTGCAGAGGCACAAGGGTTATCTCCATTCCTTGTCCCAGCAGTGCTGGTGAAGAGGGTACAGCAGCTGTGTCTCTATGCCCTGTTCCTTTGGAAAATCTGCTTCAGTGCCATGTGCACTACAGCTGTGGCTTGTGCCTGGCTGTTCAGGAGTGAAAAAAACCCAAGCCTATGGAAGGCATTGCAAGCACGGTCTGTAGCCATTTCCCTCATGTAAAATGAGGTTGTTTCACCCAAGAACTCTGCCTGGAGGACATGTTTTGAAATACTTAAATGGAAGATGATGGGCAGAGGGTACTTTAAATCAAGTTTCTCTATAAGAAGAAAGCAGATTTCAGCTGAGAAGCTAGTATGATGGGTAGTATCATGGTAATTAGTTACCTAAAGCAATGCCAAATGTGCTTATTGGCAGTGCAGCATTCAGCACACCACTGGAGTCCAAACTGACTAAAGCAACTGTCAGACTGAACTTTGAAGGACAGTTTTAAGACAACAGAACCTTCTGTTGTCACTGAATGAAGCAGTCATCTTCCCTTTTTTGTCTCTGGCTGTTAATTCCCCTCTCATGCTGCCCTGTTCTCTAGCAGCATAAATGTTTGAGTGCCAATGCAGAGATCTGGCTTAGGAAGATCATCTGACTGACCCTTAGCCTGAATAAAAGTGCTTGTTTTTCAGCACATATGCTCCCTGCAAGTGGAGGAGGTGCCACATAGACACCTGAATTGGCACTACAGAAAGATGCAGGGATGGAAAGAAGCAGCCAGCAATGGAGGGAAGATAGCACAGCATCTTTCGTTGGCAGTGCCAGTGTAGGCTAGCTTAAATATTGATAGTACTGATTTAATAGTGGCATTCCCCTATGAAGACAGGCTGAGGAAGTTGGGGCTGTTCAGCCTGAGGAAGAGAAGGTTGTGTGGAGACCTCATAGCACCTTCCAGTATCTGAAGGGGCTACAGGGAAGGTAGAGGGACTTTTTGTCAGGAACTGCAGTGACAGGACAAGGGGTAATGGACTCAAATTGAAGGAGGGGAAATTTAGGCTAGATATTAGGAAAGGTTTTTTCCTGTGAGGGTGGTGAGACACTGGAACAAGTTGGCCCTAGAGTGTTCAAAGCCAGGTTGGATGAGGTTTTGAGCAACCTGGTCTAGTTGGGGAGGTGTCCTTGGCAGGGGGTTGGGACTAGATGATCTGTAAGATCCATTCCAACCCCTAAAATTCTATGATTCTATGATTTGTGAGGCTCAGGGTAGTGTTCTGCTGGATGACATAATATTGAAACTGAATTACCTTTGCTTTCTCAGAGTATGATTTCTTTGTGTTTTTCAATTAGCTCTTTCTGGGCATGTACCCAGATGAACACTTCGTGGAGAAGCCGGTGAAAGAGGCTATGGCAAAATTCCGCAAGAATTTGGATGAGATTGTCAACACCATCACTGAGCGCAACAAGAACAAAAAGCTTCCTTACTACTACCTTTCCCCAGATCGCATTCCCAACAGTGTTGCTGTTTGAGCAGCTAGCCAGGAGAGCTTGGAGCCTCGAGGTCAAATTTATTACAAATTTATTTTTCCAGGGTTTTAAAATTAATCTTAGGATCAATATACATGTTGCTGTTATCTTTCCCTCTCTTTGTCACAACAATGTAATCACAGATTCACTTACTCAATGGAAGTAGTATCATGAGCAATAAGCAAGTTACATCTTTAGAATCCTTCCTGCTTTTAATAGTTGACACTGATGACATATAAAAATATAATCTTTATGCATTGTTTGTAATCTGATTAAAACAAATGTTAAATATTTTCACTACAATTGTAAATATTCTGATCAGGATGAAGCTAGAAGCAGGACATTTTCTTACCAGAGCTGATGGGGTTCTATCACTTTCTTACCAAGTTCACGTGGAGATGAAAATTTTGTACCTACATAAATACATGAATTTTCTACATAAAACTAGGGAGGTTTGTTTTAGCCTCTGCCAGCAGAGTTTGATGTCATTCATACGTATGGACAAATGTTCTACTTGGCACAATGGCAACAAGTACAGACCTAGCAGTGCTTGTGCTCTATTTCTTTTTCATTGCTGAGACTTTTGGGCTTTGTGAATAGTTTCTTCTGTTTTGTGTGGAATGGAGAAGCTACTTTGTATAATGAAAAAAGTTGTGGAGAAGTCTTAATTAACACCTTCTAAGAGGAATCTTTAGATTTGGCCAATTAAACATAACTGGCAAGTTCCATCTTAGTTGTAAACAGCTGAGTTTGGTCTGGTTTGGGCTTTGGTTAAAGCTGAGTCACTGAGGTAATGGAAGCAAAAATGAGGTTTGGCAAATCTAAGAGTTGTAGTTTTGTTGATAACAATTTTGGTTTATTTTTCTGAGAATTTGTTCCTTGTGCTAGGCTCACCAGTCTGCAGTGTGTTTTCTCAAGAGATAAGAAAGCTTCTTGTGCTAATAAAACAAAACTGAATGTAGCTTTTATTTCCTAATGCTGTATGTCTTGAAAAGGTTGTAGGAATAAACACAAAGTGCTATGCAAAGAAATGAAGCTTCTGCTCTTTGAGAAATGTAGTTACTTCATTCCTGTATGATTTGGAAAAGGGTGCTTGCTACTAAAATGTACATCTTTTCATATGAAACAGGTGTGGAAACTGATTTTAGACCCTTTACAGCAGATTGATTCCTTTTTTATTCCCTCAGATAAAGAGTTTCAGAAAAATGTGGAAGGTAAGACCAAGGAAGTGCATTTAAGATTTGTGCATCTTTTTACTGCAGTCCATGAGGTCATGAGTGCAGAAGCCAAGGATGCAATTGTGTAGCAACATTAGGGGATCAGAGACCTGTGAACCCACCTGCACCCCCTCCAGAAAAAAAAAAAAAAGGAAGAAAAAGAAAAGAGGTGCAACTTAACAGCGAAAGACAAAAAATGCAACAAGCTGATGCAATCTATCCAGTATGCCAGCTCTAACCCTTGTCTTTCTCCTGTGTACAGAGCATGTCCTCTTGCTTCAACTTTCATGTGATTGTGATTTGCATAGTCAAGTATCTGCCTAGAAAACAAAGATTGATGGATGTTCTCTTGTGTCTGTGCCCTCTGCTGTAGCCTGTGGACCTGGGATACAAGTACAGTTCATGGGGGGTTTGGGGAATTGAGTGTGCAGCTTTGCAGATTGGTATTAGCAGTCTGATTCAACTGCAGGAGGGGCTGTGGAAAGAAGAAAGGAGGTTAAAAGTAACACTGGTGCCAGAAATGAAGCAAATACTTGCAAAATAGTAAAGTGCTTACTCTTCCAGGGGGTCTGAGTACACATGTTGCTGTCCCACTCCTGGCTCCCTATTTAACTGTCACCATCCACCAGAAAGTCACCTTCCTGTGCATGGGCCATGGGTTCCTCACCTACATCTTCAGCCATGACTTGCACAGAGGTGTCTCCTAAGTCATGGTACTAAGGAACAGTGTCCTCTTGCAGGATCCCTCCTAGGTGGAAATGAAAGGATCATGTCTCTCTGAATTGTGGCATGCACTCAGCTTTGTGACAGACACTACAGCTTGATATGCACTGTCCCAGTTCTAATGGGGTTTGACAGCCAATAGCATGTGTCTTCCCTGGATGGCTGTTTCTGCTGGCCAGTCCAAGGGAATTTAACCTGACTCTTCAACTCGAGCTTCCTTGCTGTCTTTTCCAATTGCAGTGATTCTCAATTGGCTGGAAGATTGAACTGGGAGATATCCCCTTCAGGAAGTCCTGGCACCAACTCCAGAGGCTCTGGCATCTCAGCTTTTCCTCTTGGCATTTGGTCACAGGGGAGGATACTCTAGCTATAAAACACCATTAGTGCTAGTGATAAATGAACTGGTAAGGGCTGTCCTAAAGGACTGTCACAAGTAGAGGAGAAAACCCAATATTTTCTTCCAAAGCAGATTCAAAAGAAGTCTCTCCTTAAGAGAAAAGGAGGCCTAGAGATGGAGAGAGCGACCATCAGTGAGGGGACAGGGCAGGCATTTCCCTGCTGAAGTCTCTGACTCTTTGGGTTCATCAACAACAGTGAGGATTTAGCCCTGTGCAGCCAGTCCAGTTCTCATCACTGACCTCCCATGCTTTCCTGTTTTTGCAGGGTGAATTTACCTCTACAAATTCCTTCTGGAATATCCCCTTTTTCAAACCCCCAAACACCCTTGCACTAACATCATGATTCTTACTGCCCTTGGAAAAAAATCACACATACTTCTTAGTCATCCCATATGATGTAAGCTACCTTTTTCCTTTTCTTTCTCCAGTCAACCAGCATTTTACAAGTGAGGACATGGAACTGCATGCATTCAGTCTTTGTGCCTTGCAACAGCTTCTTGCAGTAGCTTTGTGTGACAGAAGACCCTTCTCTGACATCCTTCCCCTTTCTTTTGGTAAACTCAATAGAAAAATTTCCTGGAGTCTTTGGCTGTAAGACTTTCCTTAAACTTCTTATCTCTTACCACTGTGTGGTCAGCATGTGAGCAGTTGATGACAATAATGTTTCAATGGCTATTTCAGTCATTATTTCATAGGCTGCATTTCCTTCTGCTTGCAACTGTGTATCTGCACTTTGTCCATAGATTCATGTCACAAACCACACAGCAAATTATCTGTGTTACTGAACAAATTTCCTGTTTGTGCATATGAAAGTGGTGGAAAATACCTTCAGTAAGTGAGAGAAATATTAATTGAGTTGCTGTTCAAATATTTCCTTCTAAGAGTTGAGTTGGGACATAGACTTTGGTAGATCTCTATCAAGCTTCAAATTCAGCTTCTGTGGTGAGCACACTGTACATCCAGAAGAGTTTTAACTTTAGTTTTGCAGTGTTTAAAACCCAGGACTTTGTGATTAGGCTTAATCTGTTATTACATGGCTGAGTTATCATAGAATAGTTTGGGTTGGAAGGGACTTTAAAGATCATCTAGTTCCAACCCCCCTGCCATGGGAGGTTCTAGCTGCTGCTGCTAGAAATATTTAGCCTGTATTTAACTTATTCAGGATTTGCTCTAAAGTTAATTCAGGCTTTTGGCTGCCTGCATATATGGCAGAGGTTTCTGGAAAGCCTGACCAGCCAGCTCAGCCAAGCTGCTAGATACAGCAGAGGAATGGCTTACACTTGGAGCAATTACCACAGTCTGTCAGTGGTGGGAACTAGACAGACAACATCATTTATACAGGACACTGAAGAACTGTTTCTTTCCCAGCTTGGTGCTTGTGTGTAGAACTTCCTCATTCACTGTTCAGTACCTTGTCTGAGCACCTTCCTCACATACATAGAATTAGAATCATAGAATTTTAGGGGTTGGAATAGACCTTATAGATCATCTAGTCCCAACTCCTTGCCTGGAGCAGGGACATCTCCCACCACTCCAGGTTGCACAAGGCTTTATCCAACCTGGCTTTGGAACACTGCCAGGGTTGGGGCAGCCACAGCCTCCCTGGGCACCTGTGCCTGTGCCTCTGGAACTCTCAGGTCTATATCCAGACCTGTCTTAGGAGAGAAATGTAAACTCCTGATACTGTAATGAAAATTGCTCTTTTATTCACATATGCATATATCATCCTAACACACCTTGAAATTAGACAAGAATTTTAAAAGTATAATCCTGTTTGCCTAAAAAGCCCAAAAATATTGAATCTACCTCTTCTCCCTGTCCTGTCTTCCCTCATGCAGCCTTTGAGCTGAAGTCACAGGAAGTGACTAACATCATGTGCAAACAAACAGCTCACATGGAGATTGTCCATCTCCTCTTGCTGCCACTTCAGGATCCATCTCAGGAGAGATCCCCATAGGTGACTGGTACATTGGTCTTCCCGAAGACTTGGCAGCAGAGTCTCCGAGTCTTTTTGTCTCTGCTGGAAGCAGAGCAATACCAGAGCCACCGTCCCCAGGGGGAGCTGAAGCTTATGGATGACTCTCATCTCATGGATGGATGTTTTGCTTCATTTCAGCAATAATCTGAGCCATACCATTTGTCTCAAAGATACTGCAGCCACAACAGCAAAGGAAGCTGTATTCCTGCCCTCAGGGCTTTGGCAGTATCAAATGCAAACTCCAGTCTTTATTTTCTGTTTCTAGGGTTAAATCTGGACAAGCTACATGAGATAATGAGCCAGTTCTCTCCCATCTGTGAGAAAGATATTATAGGGATAATTGTCAAAGCTGCCTGGTAACTTTTCCAGATCTGCCAGCTTTATAAATATCTTTATTGCATGTCCTAGGGCATGGACGGCACTGGCTGCTGCCACTCACATATCTACTAATGTTTAGTAGCCATCAATGTTAAACAGTAATCAATAATCAGCATCAATCATTATCCTAAAAAGTGTAGTATAATCTCTCTGGAGGGCATGTTTGCTCAAAACCAGAGAAGCATGCTGACAAAGCCAGCCTGATCCACTGATGATCAGGTCTCACAAAGTGTTTGGGTAAAGCTTTGAACAGTCTGGCTTTGTGTGGTACTCACCTGGTCACCACTGAGCTGCAAATGGTAGGAAAGT